GAAGGTCACTACACATCTTCAGTAAATTTAGGCCCTTCCTTTGTTAAGGCTGATCTTCCTCTTAATTCTAAGTTATTATATGTTTTCACCAAAATCTGTAGAATGTACAACCTTTACCTGAACAAGACCTTTTATTTAAAAAAAAATATTCTGTTGTAACTTAGATCAGTGTTTTCAAACAGCTTCAAGATCTCTGGAAGTAACTACGTCTGGGCTGAGCAGGTGGCGCTGGGTCCCTCCCCACAAACCAACACTTTTCACTGTTTGACACATGGGGCTTATTCATTATTGTGCTACTTTAAAAGGGGGGCTTGAAAAACCACTGACTTAGGCAGTAGGCTGCCAGAGCAGAAAAGTCTTCAGTTTGCGGTCTCACGCCTTCTCTGCACAGAAACAGTGGGAAACCAGGCCTCCTCTTCACAGTAGATTCAGACGGTTCCCTCATTCAGGGAAGAAGAGGAAAAATACCTAACAATTACTTTCAGACTGTAGAATTATCCAACCTCAACAGGCAAACTATACCTTCTAATAACTGTTGTACTATAGTCATTTTAGCATCTCTGGTGTTTTTTAAAAACAAACAAAACAAAAAGCCAAACCTAACAGACAAGACATTGCAAAGTCCAATTAGGGAAAACAGACCTTACAAATACAGATATGTATCCTGTTCACGCCATCGTTTAGGATTATACAAGCACAACCCACCTTAAGCAAATTCCAACTATGCAATTACAAAGCAACTAAATGGTTATTCACATTACAAAGTGGTTTCTCAGAGCATCTCCCTACATAGCAACGTCACCTGGCATTTAAGATATAACTTATTTATACATGGCTAATTTATATATCCACCACGTGACTGTGAGTTTGTTGTATGGTGGTAGCTTGTGTGTTGCTGTGATGCTGGAAGCTATGCCACCAGTATTCAGATACCAGCAGGGTCACCCATGGTAGACAGGTTTCAGCTGAGCTTCTAGACTAAGACAGACTAGGAAGAAAGACCTGGCAGTCTACTTCTAAAAAAACCGGCCAGTGAAAACTTTCTGAATAGAAGTGGAACACTGTCTGATATAGTGCTGGAAGATGAGCCCCTCAGATTGGAAGGCACTCAAAATACGACTGGGGAAGAGCTGTCTCCTCAAAGTAGAGTCGACCTTAATGACATGGATGGAGAAAAGCTTTCAGGACCTTCATTTGCTGATGTGGCACGACTCTAACTGAGAAACAGCAGCTACAAACATCCATTAATAATAGGAACGTGAAATGTACGAAGAATGAATTTAGGAAAATTGGAAGTCGTCAAACTGAAATGGAATGCATAAACATCAATATCCTAGGCACTAGTGAGCATAAATGGACTGGTATTCGCCATTTTGAATCAGACAATCATATGGTCTACTATGCTGGGAATGACAAATTGAAGAGGAATGGTGTTGTATTCATCGTCAAAAAGAACATTTCAAGATCTACTCTGAAGCACAACACTATCAGTGATAATATCCATACGCTTACAAGGAAGACCACTTAATACGACTATTATTCAAATTTATGTACCAGCCACTAAGGCCAAAGATGAAGAAACTGAAGATTTTTACCAACTTCTGCAGTCTGAAATTGGTCAAACACGCATCAGGATGCATTGATAATTACTGGTGACTGGAATGAGAAAGTCAGAAACAAAGAAGGATCTGTAGTTGGAAAATACGGCTCTGGTGATAGAAATGATGCTGGAGATAGCATGATAGAATTTTGCAAGATCAACGACTTACTCCTTGCAAATACATTTTCTCAACAACATAAACAGCGCCTATGGAGCCCTCATGGTGCAATGGTTAAGAGCTTGGCTGCTAACCAAAAGCTCTAGACTTGAATACACCAGCCCTTCCTTGGAAACTCTATGGGGCAGTTTTACTCTGTCCTATAGGGTTGCTGTGAGTCAGAATTGACTCTACAACAACAGGTTTTTGGCTTTATACATGTGGACCTCACCAGATGAAAAACACAGGAATCAAATCAACTACATATGTGGAAAGAGACAATGGAAAAGCTCAATATCATCAGTCAGAACAAGGCCGGGACTAACTGCGGAACAGACCATCTATTGCTCATATGCAAGTTGAAGCTGAAGTTGAAGAAAATTAAAACAAGTCCACGAGAACCAAAATATGACCTTGAGTATATTCACGCCTGAATTCAGAGACCATCTCAAGAACAGATTTGATGCATTTAACACTAATAACCAAAGATCAGACGAGTTGTGGAATGATATCAAGGACATAATCCATAAAGAAAGCAAGAGGTCATTAAAAAGACAGGACAGAAAGAAAAGACCAAAATGGATGTCAGAAGAGACTCTGAAACTTGCTCTTGAACGTAGAGCTGCTAAAGCAAAAGGGAAAAATGATGAAGAGCTGAACAGAAGATATCAAAGGGTGGCTCGAGAAGACAAAGTAAAAGTAGTATAATGAAATGTGCAAAGACCTGAAGTTAGAAAACCAAAAACAAAGAACATGCTCAACATTTCTCAAACTGAAAGAACTGAAGAAAAAAATTAAGCCTCGAGTTGCAATTCTGAGGAATTCTATGGGCAGAATACTGAAAGACACAGGAAGCATCAAAAGAAGATGGAAGAAATACAGAGTCACTGTACCAAAATGAATCGTTTGACATTCAATTATTTCAGGAGGCAGCATATGATCAAGAACCGATGGTACTGAAGGAAGAAGTCCAAGCTGCACTGAAGGCATTGGTGGAAAACAAGGCTCTGGGAATTGATGGAATACCAATTGAGATGTTTCAATGAATGGATACAATGCTGAAGGTGCTCACTCATCTGCGCCAAGAAATTTGGAAGTCAGCTACCTGGCCAACTGACAGGACAAGATCCATATTTATTCCCATTCCAAAGAAGGTGATCCAAGAGAATGCAGAAATTATCGAACAATATCATTAATAACAAATACAAGTAATATTTCGCTGAAGATATAATTCAAAAACAGTCGCAGCGGTACATCGACACAGAACTGCCAGAAATTCAAGCCGGATTCAGAAGATGACATGAAACAAGGGATATCACTGCTAATGTCAAATGGATCTTGGCTGATAGCAGAGAATACTAGAAAGATGTTTACCTGTGTTTTACTGACTATGCAAAGGCATTCGACTGTGTGGATCATAACAAAGTACGGATAACATTGTGAAGAAGAGCAATTCCAGAACACTTAATTATGCTCATGTGGAATCTGCACATAGACCAAGAGCAGTCATTTGAACAGAACAAGGGGATATTGTGGGGTTCAACATCAGGAAAGGTGTGCATCAGGGTTGTATCCTTTCACCATACTTATTCAATCTGTATGCTGAGCAAATAACATGAGAAGCTCGACTGTATGAAGAAGAATGTGACATCAGGATTGGTGGCAAACTCATTAACAACCTGTGGTATGCAAATGACACAACCTTGCTTGCTGAAAGCGAAGAGGACTTGAAGCACTTACTGATGAAGACCAAAGACTACAGCCTTCAGTATAGATTACACCTCAACATAAAGAAAACAAAAATCCTCATGACGGGACCAATGAGCAATATCATGATAAACGGAGAAAAGACTGAAGTTGTCAAGGATTTCATTTTACTTGGATCCTCAATCAACGTCCATGGAAGCCACAGTCAGGAAATCAAACAACATATTGCATTGGGCAAATCTGGCTGCAAAAGACCTCTTTAAAGTATTGAAAAGTAAAGATGTCACTTTGAGGACTAACGTGCGCCTGACCCAATCCATGATATATTCATTTGCAGCATATGCATGCAACAGGTGGACAAAGAATAAAGAAGACCGAAGAAGAGTTGATGCCATAGAATTATGGTGTTGGCAAAGAATACTGAATATACCATGGACTGCCAGAAGAACGAACAAGTCTGTCTTCGAAGAAGTACAAGGAGAATGCTCCTTGGAAGGGAGGATGGCGAGACTTCATCTCATGTACTTTGGACATGTTATCGGGGGGAACAGTCCCTGGAGGACATCATGCTTGGTAGGGCAGAGGGTCAGCAAAAAAGATGAAGACCCTCAACAAGATGGAATGACACAGTGGCTCCAACAATGAGCTCAAACAGCAACAACTGTGAGGATGGCGTAGGATCGGGCCTTGTTTTGTTCTGTTGTACGCAGGTTCACTATGAGTCGGAACAGACTCGATGGCACCTAACAACAACAACAACAACAATTTAATACAACTTTAGGAAACACGCATCAGGGTAAAATGAGCATGGAGGGAGCGTCTAGGAGAGACAGGAGAAGGAAGGAGGTAACTGCTCCATTCTATAAAGGTCTGTCTGGGGTTGCAGAGTTCCTAAAAATTAGGTGCAAGGTGAAGGCCAGGGAAAGAATACGGGTGACAATGATCACAGTGACTTTTTTTTTTCAAATCACCTATTCTTAAACCTACTTTCCAAGTTGGATTTTATAGAGCCAAGGCTAAAACTTCCCAGACACAGAGGACAAGCATGAGGCTGCAACACGGATGTTGCAGGATGACACCCATCTCACACTTGGCCACAGGCTAAAGTCTTCTATTAAAGCAATATTCCAGACCCTCACTGTAGGACAAAATGAGGCAGCAGACAGATATTTACCTGGTCCTAAAAATCAAGAACCAATTTGGTCTAAACCAGCCCAGCATACTTAGCTTTAAGGCACTGGGGTCAGGCAAAAGGAGCCTCTGCCAGGCAGCTCCAGGCTGGCACTGGGGGCCATGCTGAAGGAGGCCCTTTCAGTTCATCACACCCACCTAGCTTCCACTGGCAATGGAGCAAATAGGGCAGTCAGGGGCCCAGACTGGCATCACCAGCTTACATCGTGTAAATAGCTAAGCAGCAGGAAAGCAGCTAACACATGAATATGGTTTTCTGAGAACAAACAAAAACCTATCCAATGCGTTCAATTTCATCTGGTTCTCATCTAAAAGGATGAGAGACAGAAAAGAGAGAAAATAGGCATGGGGCAGGAAAGAGAGGAGAGAGAGAGAAAAGATGAATTTCAAACTGTGCTCGTTTCCAGGGAATTATATTGTGATAACTCAGAGAAGTCTATGAGTGGAGACCGGGAATAACAACTCTGCTCACTGTGAGGGATGGCAACAGAGGTCTTGGGAACACTTTGGTCTCCAGCGTTTGGGGCCTATTTTCCTGCTTGGCCTCTGTGAGAATGTGCTTTTGGGTGTTCATGGAAGGTCGAGGCTCCTTGGGTTTGAATTTGGCTTTGTAGTTTTGCATTCCCTGTTTCTGCAGGAGCCGCAAGGTGGCGAGATATCGCATGTTGCTGGGCGTGGGCGGGCACAGCAGGCTTCGCTCAGGCAGCAGGGACCAGTGCAGGCAGCATGGCTGGGGGTTGGCCAGCAGGGTGGGCCGGGCCGCCTGGGGAGGGAAGGGTGGAGAGTCTTTGACCTTAAGGTGCTTGGCCAGCTCAACAGGTCTCCTTTCACCTTGCCCGTCCACTGTTTTCAGTTCACATGTATAAGCCACACCCTCAACCTTTTCCACACTCAGCCCCTTCTCTTCCTGCTGCAAGAAAACATTCTTACTCTTCTTACCCAGAGCATCCAACCCATCTGGAGATGAAGCCTTCAGCGGGGGCAGAACTAAGAGGGCTTTGGAAGCCAAGGAATCGGAAATGGAGAAGCCCTTGTCTATATTTCCGCCAGGACGCTCGTGGCTTTTGGGGTCCTTGCTCTTAACAGTCTCGGAGGCGGTCCAGTCATCTGTACACCAAACAAACTCCTTTAATTGCAGACTTTTTTTCTCGCCCTGACTGTAGTGAGGAAAGCAGGTTTTGCTGATGTCCCTGGAAGCTGTGTTAGGGCCGTGGGGGTGCCCCTGGCTCTGGGAGGGGCTGCTCTGATCCTTTCCTGGTCCTGCCTCAGCCAGGGCCCTGGCCTCTAATTTCCCAGGCTCGGTCTGCGGCCTGGCCTCAGGGCTCCCCTGGGAGATACTGACACAGAGTAAGCAGCTGCCGGCACTTTCTCCCACCCTCACCTTTTTCACTTTCTTCCTTGGCCAGATGCAGGCTGTTGGAGAAGTACTGCCCCAGCCTTGGACCTGCAAGAAAAGCAGCGCGTCACTGTGTTTTTCAAACTCTGTTGTTGTGTCAGTCGACTCCCATAGGACAGACAAGAACTGCCTTATAGGGTTTCCTAGGCTATAATCTTTATGGGAGCAGATCACCAGGGCTTTCTCTCGGTCCCAAACTCTAGCCACCCCAATTTTAGCCACATCTCATTTTGGCAGTCTTATTTTAACTGGTATCTTTCTTAAAATCGACTTCCCTTTCATTGTCATAGGGCAATATGTGTACTAACTGTTTAATGAGAAACTATTTGTTCTGCAAACCTTCATCTAAGGTACAAAAAAAAAAAAAAAAAAGAATTACCTGTGTGAGATCAAATTGACAACAGCAACTCAAAAGGTTTGATGGGAAGCCTAGGGGACAGTGAGTTGAAGATAATG